TAGCGGCGATGGAGACATTTGCTATTGAAATGCCAATGATTCAATACAAAATTCGTATTCAGATAGATTATTTCTTCTTCTCTTTTCGATTAATATTCCGAAAACAGTTAGATGTTGTGCACAAGGTCAAAATGTTGTTTAAATCTTGAAACATGTATAATTTTCAGCAAGAAAGAGAGAGAGAGAGAGAAAAAATGGCGTCGTCGGCGACTATGAGTGTTTTTGATGAGATCTATTCTCTTTTTATACATGTGTGTTGACTACTTCTTGATTCGTAGGCAAATTTTCTTGGCATACATAAAAATCTCGTTTTTTCTCAGCATTTTGCTATGACTTTGATTCGCCACTCGTACAGGAAATTACAAAAACAACGAGAAAAAAAACCATTGTGACGATGTGTGAGCGTGTGCGCGCGTACGCGCACGCTCTCTCGATTCACACTCAATACAAACGACGCACCAACACATATAATCTTGAAAAATAAGCAATAATCATATCAAATTTGCGAAATAAAAAAAGAAACACAAAGTCGTATTTAAAATCAACATAAATAGATAATTTATGCGGGGCAGTGGCACATGTCCATTCATCTCGAATCTAATTTCAAGATTTATCGATTGCTGTTCACTGTTCTAGAAGACCGAGAATAAAGAGAGAGAGAGAGAGAGAGAGAGAGTGAGTGAGTCTCTGTGTGTGTTGCTGACACAAAGCACATCCAAATTGTGACACAAATGTGTTGGGAAAAACGTCAGCAAGATTGAAAGCCGTATTGTTGACATGCGTTCACCGTCAAATGCATAAATTAATCAAATTAAATGTAAATTAAACAGATATACCGAGAACCATCTTTATCGTGTGATATTTGCGCATTCGTTTGTCTGCCACCTTATAAAGATCGTTCTCACAACGCTGTTTAACATAGTTTATCAACGTTTATAATTTCCAAATGGTTTTTTTTTCATATGCGAAAATTGAAAGATCAGCGTCTTGAGTATGGACTCAACGATTCACGACGAACGATCGAAAGGTTTCACGATGCGCAAAACTTCTTCATGAATGACCGCAAACAGCATACTTAATGTGTGCTTAAGCACTGCAATTAAAAGTTGTTGCCAACAACAACAGCAAAGACATGTGCAAAAAACAAACGGTATGGGCTTTTCCGGTCTTTATCGCTTCTTTCATTTGCAATTTCTTGGAATTGACTGACAACGCCATACCGTTGGAAAGTTTATTATTAACTTTTGGGCATGGTAAACACGTGCTAAATATTATTGGCCATATTGGTGTTTTCGAAAATATCCAATTTGAATGGGTCTTAAATCATCCGAAATGTTCAATAAACAAACAAACAAACACACACACACACACGCAGTGCATAAAATGATGTGTGCCAACGCATGATATTGGATATGGAAGCGATGACAATCGATCGGTCACTGCTCATTTGAAATGCGCGTAAACACTTGAAATGCAAAAAAACAAGTTTGAATCGAACACGAAAAGAAGCGGATGTGAAAATGGCGTGAAAATAAAACACTGATGACGTCGGCAATGCATTAATGGCAGCATTGCAATCCCAAAGATCATTCATTCATTCATTCGCTCGTTTGGATAGTCAATAAAAAAAAGTTATATCTTCTATGCCATTGCCATTTGAAGCTTCCGTTTGTCAACCATTGCGCTATTGTACTTCATTAGCTAATTAGTATAAGCACATTTTGGGCACTATTGTCACATAATCACAAGCATATAATCTTTCCTAATTTCGGTTTCAAATACATATGGTGCGGTTCGCCTAAGGAACACTTTTTTATGAAATGAATTTATTTTATATGTTGATTAAACGAGAAGCAAAACCAACAACAACAACCGAAATGAAATTTAGGTCAACCCGAACGTCATTAAATCATTTACGAGAAACGATAGCAAAGCCATATACTTTCGATCTTTAACATTGTTTTTGCCATTCTTGGACCTTGCATCTCATAAGCGCCGCATGTTGTAACACGAAACACATACACACACGATGATTTTGTTCGCTGCAAAAATGCATTGACCATTTACAGCCGAAATTTGTATCAATTCTATTCGAAAAAGTCAAGGATTGCTTCTTTACAACCATTTTTCAATCCACGAAGAAGATAGAAACGTAGAAGATATCCGTCAATTTGAAAATTGAGACCAATTAATTTGATGATCAATGTCAATGCTCTTATCCATGCATACCTATCCGGTGGCCCGGTGTCCAAATAAAATGCTTATCATTTCACTCTAATGCCATGCTGGCCGAAAATCATTTTGATTAACCATTTGTCTTTAGTTTTGTAGTTTTGGTTGTTTGATGGATAAATTTTAGTCGAAGCACACCCATCGAAAGAGTTGTCGAAAGATTCGATGCAACGATAAGCAGTTTGAAGTTTATCTCATTTCGAATGGTACTTTAGCAGAAAGCGTGAAACCGCGTCCGCTCGGGCGAACACCAAACCGGAGCATAAAATATTCAATTAAATTATTCAAATCGAATCGAATCGAATCGAATCGAAGCAAGCAAGGTGTGCATGTGTGTGTTTCAACACGATACAGACTGACTAAAATAGACGAGTATGAATGTAAACGAGCCCTTGTATTCATCGAATTCAATGTCACGTCATCAAAAAGATATTGAAAAAACAGTCGAAAAACCATAGCGGTGCACTGCCGATACAAACGTGGCGGGGCCACGTAGTGCTCTACGACATGTAGTTTGCATAACGTAGTTAGGGCGCGTAGTATTATCGTTGCACCGCTATGCGAAAAACGTTTTTCGGATTTTTTTGTTTTCTTTTCTTACGCGATAGATGTTTTTATTGTGTGACGTTGATTTGATATCGAATGGCAGAGACCGCATTGAATCGATTCACTTCAATCCATTGCAGTCCAATGTGTTTGAAATGAAAAATGATATTTATATGGAATAAAATCTAGACATTTTCCATTTTCAGCATTTATAAACATATATATTATGTCGACAGGCAAATCCAAATGGCATGGAAATGTGTGCGATTGCTGAAACAGTCATAGGAAAAATGCCAGAAAAAAATATGATAGTCATAATCATAATGCAAAGTCATTGAGCCCATCAATGCACAGTTTAAGCGGAAGATTGGCAAAACTTTTGCTATTTATATTGATGTTCAGCGCCAAATAGCCCAAGTGAATGCATAAAAATAACCATTTCGAATATGAAAATATGTAATTTGAAAATAATTGAAGAACGGCGGAAAAACGATGAATGAGTGAATGGATCGAAGCGGCCCGACTAAATAATCCATAACAAACTCCGATCACAAACAAACAATATTCAACGCAAAAATGTAGACACAGATAAACGTAGCTACGATGCGAACCATATGCGCACCACCATATTCAATAAAATTTCGATAATTCAGTGAACAAAATTGAAATTCAATCTAGCGTCGAGTTGTTTCCTTGATTTGTTTATCAAACAATTTTTCGGCACATGTGCCATTGTTTTCTTCGTATCTAATAACGAAGCGTAACGAAGTGAAGAAAGAGCGTAAAAAAGAAGTTTTGCCATTTAAATCATTGTCACTTCAATAATTTTGTTGCCATATTTTAGCGCTGAAGCTTGTTTACTTTTCGCTTGCGATTTGTCATTCAATCGAATGGGAGGGTTCGATTTTGTGAGGAATTTTTTTTATTACTTTATTTTATGGTATGGCGCAACAAACAACGTTCTTACACACAATCTTCTTATAAATTCAAGAAATGAACGTTATCTGCATTGATGAACTCTGAAGCTGAATTTAATCGATTCCACATGATACGCTTAAAAAATTGATATGGGTGCGCACAAATGGACTTTGTTGTTGTGATCGTAACAAAATCGCATAAAATTACTTGCATATCTTTAAAATAAAAGTGATAACCATCGGATATAGTACGGAATGCCTAACATCTTTCCATGATTCACATGTTTATAAGCATAAATTACCCATTTTTGTCACTCTGTCAAAATGCTAAAAATAAAAATAGATCCACATCGACTGGAACAAATTCAATCTATAGTAAGGCTAAAGACGTAGAAACTTTTACGGCTGCAAACTTTCCGTGTTCTCAAAAGCGGCCCAGTTCAACAATTCAGAACTCACGGTTCACTGTTCACCCATATGACGAAAACTGAACAAGTTAAAATACGACGACGTGATTCGAAACGCGATATGTTTACTTCCTTCATCGTCAGCGCGTCATCAGTGAATCTATGATGATTTGTTTTTAAATAGCAAAGTTCCTATATGCCAACCAAATGGAAAAAAAAGAGCTGAACAGCACAAAAAATGACCGGTGTGGTCACTATTCAGCAATAGTGATTCAGTCGAAATGGCAAACGAACATTGTTACTTCTCGGTGCTATCTTTATTTTGGTTGAAAAACGAAAAAAAAACACCGATATTGTCACCAATTAAATTGTGTTGTGTTGTGCTAAAAGTTTTCGGGATTATTTATTTACCAAAGTCATGGATGTGTGGAAGAATGAAAAGGAAGACCAAAACAAAAAAAAAAGACTCGTAACACCGAAAGAATAAAAGGGGTAATAAAATCGACTTATTTGACAGAACAACAAACATCGCCCAAACAATTGATTGAGAGAGAAATGCTATTTTTAGAAGCTCATCTTTGTTTGAAGCCATCGAAAATGGTTGTTGTTTAAACTTTTATGGCCGACAAAGAAATGTCGAAAGATAAGCCTCGAGATACAAAACGGTATAATTAGGTTAGACAAGAACCATACCGCCTACTCTCTATGCTCCTGTCTGTTGTGTGAATGTGCTCTTGTTTGAAAAAATGGTAAAGTGTCGGTTTTGGTTGATGAATGATTCACACCATCACCGTTGCCACTGCCACCGCTGCCACAAAAACAAAACACATCAAACGTCGAAAGAACAACCATTGGCATGAAAATTGATTCGATTTTTTATTTGCTTGGGATGATTTAGGTATATTGCCAGAAGCTTTACGAACAAAATGCGCCCGTTGCTCACCGCAACAGTTGGAAGGTGGTTTGCGTGTAATCACCAAGCTTTACTACGACTATCCCACACAATACAATCGTCTTCGAGCCAAATGGGATCCAACCGGTGAATACCATCGTCGATTTGAGGAATACCTCCGCGGATTGCAGTTCAACACCATCAACAATGATTCGTCACGTAAGTGTATTTGACTTGCTCGTTCTCTCTCACTTCACAACAGCAAAACCGTTTAGTTTCATTTGACCAACTTTGTCTATGTTTTTTTTTTGTACAGCGCAACCAACCACAGCAACCAACAACGGACCAAAGACACCATCGATTGTTGCATCTGCATCATCAAACAATCAAAATGTCATCCCAACGGCATTGCCCACGGCAACGGTACGTTAACTCTAAAACACTCACCGGTTTTTTTCCCCACTTGATTGATAATAATCAAAAATTTATTTTGTATATTTTCAAATTGATTTCCACACCCAAAATCACACACGCAATTTGTTTGATGCAAAAAAAAAAACTTGTGGTGGCTTCAAAAAAATTTCCCAATGCACAATTGAAATGCACAAACACACATGCAAATTTGAAAAAAAACAACCAACCCAAATGCAAACACAACAACACATGGATTACTGGGTCACAGGATCTATTTAATAATACACAAAGACCAGCACGTAATCCGGAAATTGCACAGAATCCAAGCACAAATATTCGTACAACAAATTCGGTTGCACCCTCGAATGGTGTTTTCAATCGGTTTGGAGGTGATGATGATGACGCATTTGGTGGTGATTCGGCTGTTGTTACTCAATCGGTAGCGGTTTGTTTTGTATTTTCTACTTTAATTTTTTTTTCTCTTCTTTCCGTGCAATTCAATTATTAAACTTAGCTCTAGAGGTATCAATCGATAGCAGCTCTTTATCAATTTAGCGAGCCCAAACAATCGATCAATTAAATTCCGAATGATGAATCATTGCTGTATTCTTCTCTCTCTCTCCCTCTCTCTCTCTCCTCGTTCTTACTTTTTTTTCGTCTCGGTTTTTTCTCTCCCTCCATCGTGTAGACGGCAACAACACAGCGTACAATGCCCACATTAGCAGCGGTACCATCACAACGAGCCACGCAAGGGACAACAAAACGACCAAAGCGTCCAAATGTTGTAAATGAAGCACCAGCCACGGTAAGACTGCATAAAAACACTAATAAAGTTGTGAGAAAAGCACATCAACCATCAGAGGTCGAATACACGGTTTACACATTCCAAGTAAATATCAATCAAATTGACCGACAATGCCTACGTCTATCTGCGCCTAAAGCTCTACTGCTATACACTTTAAACTGTTTTTTTTTCAATTCGTATCTTCGGGAGTCTTTTGATAACTGCGCCTTTCCATATTCAATTCTTCAGTTCAATTAATCAATTTGTGTACTGGGTGCGCGAACGAACCAACGTGAATGGAGTTAAGTTCTCTCATCGTAACGGTTCAATGGGTTTTGCGGGTCGAACCCCTTGCGACTGAAATAAGAGCGAATGGAATGAAAAAGCGATACATACACGAGCGAATCGAAAAAATCAATCGAAATTTACATAAAAAAAGCTACACAATCAGTCATTATTGCAGGATTATAACGAAATTAATAGCTTGGGCTGATTTCAAGGACATGAATTTATTGTACGTGCAAATGTGCTAGGATGTTCGCTGAAACACGATCCGACAGCAAAAACCAAAAATATATGGACACTGAATGTACAGAATGTGACAAGAGCGAAACTAGTGAAAATATTCATGAACTAACATGTCATCACAAAGTTTCTATCTTAATTGCATTGAAAAACACAATAACAACGCCTGAAAGTAGTCAAAATTGCAAGTTTCAATCATTTAAACATGAATAAACATGTAAAGCACGTACACATTTCTGTGACGTAAAAAGTCTCATGCTATCGGATCGTGCGCTGAAATCTATTGGTAAAAATAAAATCCACACCGCGCGCATGCAGATTTTTTTTATTCTCTGAACACTGATCTTCTATAAACCCTATCTACATCGTGGAAATATGATAATGTTCAAAGAATTCTTCAATGCAACCAACAAACATTTCTTAAATTCTTTCCTTTCTTTTCTGCATGATAAGAATTTTATTTTATTTTATAAAAAGCTGTTTATTTTTGGGCACTATATTTAACATAATATGGACAAGTGGATTTAACTTCTTTTCTCTTCACAATAATTTTATTGGAATAACATTCGAACAGCGGGTGAAGTGAAAAAAAAACCAACGCAAACACGACGATGGGATATTTTTTTTCCACCGAAATTCTCAATATCTATCTAAATTTTCGACTTTACTACCAATTCATTCTATAAATTTTTTTTCATCATTTATTTGTAATCGAATGTAATTTAACGAATTTTTTTCTTTCCTTTTTTTTCTTGTTTTTTCCTGTTCATCGTATTCTCTTTCGTTCTGATGTTTGTTTATTCTTCCGCATTGGATGGTATGCGTAACGACATAAAAATAAAAATAAAATGACTTGATGGACGCGCACAGGCTCAGCCGGATGTGGTGTATATTCAAACGCAACACCCGTTGGTCGGTTTGATAAATTCCATCGGTTTCAAAATCTCAAGCACCGCCGACTTTTTCGCCGGCATGTTGCGAGGAACCATTCAGGTAATTAAAGCTAAACGCAAGCATCTACTGAAATCCACACGGACAGTTTCGGCCCAACCAATCAAAAGAAAATCGAATTCCAACCATAAATTTATCCATCATTAAACCATTTTAATTTATATTTCTCATTGGACAATTATACACTTTAAACAAACATACATACAAAACACACACACACACACACACACGCCCACGATTCAAACCATACCATCGAATTTTCGACTTCTCAAAAAACTGTTTACTTAAAGTGCCTAGAATTGTTGGAAAAATGGAAGCGAAGCCTTGTCTAAACTAAGGCAAAGTGCAAATTAATACAGGCGCTGCGCCAGAAATGCATTCTTCCTAAAATTGGCCGCTCTTCCTTTGTCACAAACACACATATACTTCATCGAATTATGCTAACACACCGAACATAATAACTGATAGAACAAAAAAATAAAACGGACTCTGTGGAAATTGCCAAACACGAGACAATCGGCAATATTCAATAAGAACCAAAAAAAATCATATTTATTCTACGTACATTTATCATAATCGTAAATTCTATTTTTTTTATTTATAATTTATCCAAATGTGTCCAATTTAATCATATATCGACCTCTTGACCTCTTGACCTCTTGACCTCTTGACCTTACTTACTATCCATATCCAAATATCTCTTTGCCTGTCCACTATCCAATTAAGTCATATATAGACAAAGCAATGTTTTAATTTATTATTCAAATTTTGTTTTAGTTTATATTGTATGTTGATAATTTTAGAATTAGAATCATTTTTTTCTTGAAATGGATTTATATGTAATTGAAAATGACAACAACGACGAAACAAAAATGGTTTCAACTTTTTTTTTCTGATAGAATAATTTGTGTTTAAAATAATTTATATTAGACTTTTGTTTTGTAAACCCAAAGTTCCCATTCCCTTATTTACTTCCGTCCATGAATTTTTCAGCTATGCATTTAAATTCGTTCATTTAAGTTAAAGTGGATATTTGAACATAATTTATTTTTACTTTTGATTCGTTTTGTTTTTGTGTCTAAATTTTTGTGATGACTGATTTTTTATGTGTTTTTTTTTTAATTTTCTTTTCCACATTCTAGAAATGGTTCATAATTTAATTTCTAATATGATGTGGTGTACTGATGATAATTTAGTATCTGGTTTTTATTAAATGTGGGTTAATTTTTGTGTTTATTTTTTCCATTTTTTTCTATACTTTCTTACATTCTGTTTCTGAGATCATTTCTTCTATTTATCTCAAAAAAGGGGGTTCGGAAACACCAATTATTTCCAAACGAATTCAAAACTACACACACTTTGTATGGTAGCTAACATAAGCATACATATTTGCATATCTGACTGTGAAACTATGTGTGCTCACAGCGTTCCGTCCCCTTTCCTCTATCAGTTTTTATGCACTTTCCTTGAGTTTGCATTTTTTTTCCATAATTTTCCTTCTCCTTATTCACACACTCCTCCTCTTTTGTTCACCCGATTTGATTAGTTTTTATTTTGTTTTTCATTTTGTTTGGTAAACTGATCAATTTTGTTTTTCTTCTCTTTTTTTCCCTCCGTATGGTTACACACTACTTATGCAGAAAACGTAAATGTAGTAGATCGAATATGAATTGCCGTTTTAGGCATGATAAAAATCGCACAAAATGGGATTTCGAAGTAAAAAAAAGAAACAAATATGAACACACACACACACACACACACGCAGTGACCGAATACATTTTTAGAAAACAAACATTCTATGCAACTTTGTACATTTTTTTTCTGGGGCGGATGAGACATATTGGATCCACATTAAATATTAACATTTATGTTTTTTTTTCTGTACACACAACGATCAAATTCTTTTCCCCGAAGCAAAACATATATGAATGTCCGAGAATGGAAACGCAACTTCTATTCACAACACATATAAGTGAAACAAAAATAAATTTTTTTATTGAAATGAAACAACACAATCGAATTTTTTCAAAATGTAACAACAAAAAAGATTTTTTTAAAGTGTAACATCGGTATGTTGTTACACTTACTACATACCGATGTTACACTTTAAAAAAATCTTTTTTGTTGTTACACTTTGAAAAAATTCGATTGTGTTGTTTCATTTCAATAAAAAAAATTATTTTTGTTTCACTTATATGTGTTGTGAATAGAAGTTGCATTTTCATTCTCGGACATTCATATATATTTCAATTAACGAAGCGATTGGGTGAAGAAAATTTGGATGTCGGTTTATATTTTCTCAAAAAAGTAACAAGATATGTATTTAGTTTTAGGTAACGATTTAAGTAATCAACAAAACGTCAATAACAAACTTTGTTCTAGATTGGTGTATATCGTCTGCCGTTGGCACATGATTGAAAGGTGAATGTTTTGTTTTTGTTAGAGAGGGGAAAAAGTACAGTTTTAAATTGAATCTCGCACACATGCAACAAAGTCATATTAATAGAGAAAGAGTCTTCCACTCGAGATAAAGAGAAAATATTGAGTTTACTGTATCTATTTGTTCGATAAGAATTTGATAGAATTATTGGATGAATACTTCTAGTGTGCGATGCCGTTTAGGATAGGAATATATTTATTTTTGTTTCTTGTGCTGTTTATCGTGCCTAGAAAAAGTTTCAGTTGAATGTTTGAAGACGAAAATAGAACACACACAGCTTTTTTTGGATTCAGCTGAACATACACTGAGAAAAGGTTTTCTGAAGGTTTTTTGGTGGTTATATCGTATTGCAAATAAAGTTGGACGATTCACAAAATCCATATAAAAAAGATTGGAAACTAACCATTTACAAACGCCATCTGTAATTTTTTCAGAAAACTTTTTCTCAGTGTATACACTGAGAAAAGGCTGGAAGGAAATATTCCAACAAGTGCGGGAATGCTATCGAAATTCCAAACATGGTTGGACAATTCACAAAACCGTCTGCAATGACAACATTTACAACGCAGGGTTGGAATATTTCCTTCCAGCCTTTTCTCAGTGTACACACAAGAAATGTGTATATATATTGTATGTGTTTAAAATTTTGAGGTAGAATCGGTAAAAGCAAATTATGCAAACTAACAATCATTGTTCCGAATTGTATGAAATAACAACGTAACCGAAACGTACTTATTTTGTTTATGGTATTGGCTTCCGAACGGAAGTGCCGGTGCAAAAATTAATTGTCCCTTAAATAATGACATGTTTTATGTTTATTTTCATCAATATTTTTGCTTCGTTCGAAAGTTGGCTTCGTAATTGCAAATTAATACTCACAATGTCAATAAGCCATTTATCATATGTCCAAGTGGTGAATTACTAAAAATTATACACCCAAAAATAAACAAACGACTAACAACAATCCATATGGAAAGGACATTTTTGGAAATTAATGTTTATGTGGCTAAAAGTATCTACCCAATTAGAAAAAAACACACACAACATTTTAATACCCAATTAGACATGTCGCGCAGACAGATATTTTTTTTTCGGAATTGTGATTTTGTTAACACAGTGAATTTTGAAATGCCGAAACGTATAAGTTTTGATCAGTGATATTTTTTTTTCTTCTTTGATTATTTTCTCTTTTTTTTATTTTTCCTTCATTTATTTAGTGAGTAGAGCCAAGAAGTTTAGTTCATAAGGTAAAGCAAGTATGCAAAAATTGTCATGCAAATTTGTAGCGCTAGAACCATTCATGGAAAGCAATATTCAATTATAGTTGATATGTTTTTTTTTTATTTTCATAACAGATAACTTTAGTAGCAATTTTATAATATTACTCTCTATTTTGCGTCTGTGTACGACGGCAAGTAGGATTTCGATAGTGTTTGATTTTTAGATAAACAACAACAGAAAATACTGGAAAATTCGCAAGTAAACAGAGCGAGTATTATACCGCTTGAAACTTTCGCGCTCTTTTGATGTAATTCTGTTGAACCTTATTGTAAACAAGTGTATTAATAAAGCAAAAATTATATTCTTGATACGAAAAAAAAGCGTAAAACGAGTTTGTTTTTTTTCCCCATTCAGCTGATGCATTCATTTCGATTAATCCAATATCGATTCGGTGAACGTGTTTTTTCTTAATTCACTCTCCATTCTGTTTGCCATAGTCCAATGAATATTCAGAATACCCTTGCTCTTAGCTAAGAAAAAAACATACGGAGAAAAGAGCGATTCGGGTTTTCTGTTCCTCTCTTCTTTCATTTTTTTTTCATCCATCGCCCAACATACCGCATAGATAATTAAATAAGTTTATTACTTCCGGGTTAATCCGAGTTAATTTTAAGGTGAGTTGATTCAATTCATTAACTTGATAACTTAAATATACCCGAAAAAAGCTAACACCAAATCTTTCGTTTTGAACACCTGCCGAAGATTGCATGTGAAAAAGCGCCTGTGCTTATGCTATATACCCCATTGGAATGGGATTGACGGTGAATGTAATTTACAGTGTGAATTTAGGCGTGAAATTGCAATATTTAAGCCGCTGTCTTACCACTTTTTCTTTAGCCCGATTAAATTTTTTGTCTTGTCAATTCCCAAATTTCAAGTTCCAATGAAAACCACTTATTGACTAATTTATCGGTAAGCTAGTCGGAAGGTAAGTAAGAAAGGTAATCAATGAATGAAACTGCAGTTTTTTCTGTGTTTTCTTCGTGTTTGTTTTTCTACACAATTTATTTGGCTTTTACCAATTGATACCGTCATAGAATTGGAGAAAGGGAGGGAGGGGATAGAAAGGTTGTACAATAAACTCAATTCCTAAACAGGTAACTTCAAATCAGAATTGTCGAAAATTAAATATAGTAACACAATGTTGCATCGCAAACCGAAATAGGAATGAATGGACTGGACATAGAAGCAAGAAAAATGCATTTGATAAAGAAAAAAGAAAAATCTATGGAATTTCGGGAATGGGATAAAACGTGTTCGAAAAGTTGAGTATTTCATTATTGTTTTTTTCTTCTTGTTGTTCTTCAAATATTGTGACAAAACAAAGTCTAAAATATTCTCTGGTTAAACGGAAACAAGAAAATATAAATTGCTATTACCACTATACATTAACCATCTTTGCATTCTACATCCAAATTCAGCTGGACGATTTGGGCGAGGAGTTTCCGACGCGAGCTATTCTAAACGAGAAACAAATTTTTGATTTTGGCATGTATTTATGAAACTCCATTGTCAAACTATCATCATTATCAGCTGATTCCGAAGAGTAGCGATTAATTAAAAAAAAAAGAGAGAGAGAGAGAGAGATAGAGATTGGAGTGAGAGGACAACAGAAATACTGCCGAAAGACTTAATTTAGCGCTTAAACTAGGCCGGCATCAAGGCGTTGTTTGAACAATCCCTGTGGATCGTATTTGTCGATAAGTGATTTCCAGTCTTGTGGTCGTCTTGTTCTCAAGAAATTGATGACTTTCTTCGAGTTACGTTTCTGTGCTGCGCTGCATTTTGAGCAATCGGATTGAATGGCGTCAGGTAAAAGTTCTGCAATAAACGAGAAAAAAAAGAAAATTAGCTGTGTGTTGTGTTTTGGATTGTTTTTTTTTTCTCACAGAAATAAGTTGAATGAACAAAAAAAAACCCCAAGTGCTGTTGCTTCGTAATTAAAAAAATTCAAATGAGTGAACCGCTTGCGGAGAAATGGAGGAAATGCTCTTTTCATCCAACATGCAAATAGAATTGGATAATTATGCTAGATTTGCTATAAGTGTGCTCCAGGTTACGAAATGATATTTATTCTAAGTGCTAGGCACTCCTGCATACAATTACACCGAATGTACATTTCGTATATGAGCATATCAACAACAAGAAGAGACAATTGATTCTGCATTTTTAATTACTTACTGAATATAAATGCGCTTCCTTGTATCACAGCCAACAAAAGCGGATGATAAACTATACAAAAAGAAACAAACGCACACACACAATAACTTGGAGCTCGCATGGTATTGCACAGTTCAGGAAGCAATTTCCATATTTCTAAACACACACACACACACACACACACATTCTAAGATCGTGCATGCAACCCATTTATTAAGTTCTGACAGGGGTGGGTTTGTTCTGTTTGTTTTTGTGTTTATTATGTTTGCGTTTGTTTGTTGTCACACACTTTTGTTCAGGCCAATCTTCAATGGCTTTTTAACATTTGTGTGCTTCCCGTGCCGCACCGCGCGCGCACCATGAAATATGCGTTATTGTGAATTATTCGCATTGCACGGTAAGATCATGATGAATAGGGACGGGATTGTAGGTAGAGTGAGAGTAGAAGTGCTGACTTTTCTGCTGTCATTCGCTTTCGCCATACGTGGCGTGATTAGAGTGATTAAAATCATGCTCATTATGCGATGCGATGCTGTTGCTGATATGGTGGCGATGACTTTAAATGATGTGTGTACTTCGCTTCTTTTTTTTTCGTGTGCAAACAACAAAGTGGAAGAGAAATGTTTCGAAAAATTACGGAGCATCAAGTGCCATCTGAAATGTGTATTTGATCCGTTGCGCGTGTATTCTATATTATATGTATATATCATGATGGTGTCGTTTCAATGGGTTCATCACAAGACACGAGCTACAGACACAAAGCATTTGCTGCATATGCGACCCAACCAGCAAATGGTAACAAAAACGAAAAGAAGAGATCATGTTTATAATGAACTCCTGTACACCATGAACCTGCACAGCATCAGGCATTACATGAATTACTTTTATTTTTGCACTCGGTAATTAAATGTCTATGTGCTTGTGTCTTCAGCACTTGTCATGTGTGTGTGTGTGATTCATAATTCATGCAGCATGTTTGCGCTCGACACGCTTTGAAGAGGCAACGCTTTGACTCGGTCTTTTCATCCGCACACTGTGCAGAAGAGGGAGACAGAGAAAAACTAAGCGAAAATGATGACAGAAATAAAGTCGCTTGAGTACGCATGGATTAATACATATAAATTTCGCGCACGCGATTACATCTCATGATATAAAAAAAGTGGTTTTGGTGGAAAAAGGCGCGATTAACATTGGAACCGGACCGGTTATGAGAGCAAAGTGTGTAGTAATCATTTTTGATGAAAATTGGAATGATTTGAACAATTTCATTTTCTTTGAAAGACCTTAGATACGTTATTTCCAATTTTTTTTTCTTCTCCTTCTAAATGTTCAAAGTTGACAAAAACATGCTCTTAAAAGATCATATACACAGAGATATGGCTCACACATTTAAATATTTATATATGTAATTATTAAACCAAATCGTCGAGATGAAGCACAATTGCGTGCTTGAACTAACCAAAATGACAACAAAACCGAGGCCGCGTACATTTAACATGCAAAGACATTTATATGATAAACTTTCATTTATGACATGATGTGTGCGGTTGGTGACTGGGCTAAAAGAGAGAAATGGAGGGAGTGGAAGAGATGGAGAGAAAGGGGACCGAGAAGCCACAGCAGAAATAGCTCTTGGTGATTATGCTTTCGTTGATGATTGCATGTAAACGATGGCGATGTTGCATAACAAGCGCCGCGCACTTGTTTACACATTTCCAAACATATCGTTCGCCGACGATGAGAGATGCAAAGAGAGCGAAAGTACATGTGTGAGTGTGTGTGTGTTTGTGTGTATGTGTGACCATCGTAGTACAATGTACACGGGCTAAAATGACAACCGAGCCCATTCAAAATGCATCGAGCTTGGCTTTGCTTTGCTTTGCCCGGGAATTATAATTCACGTGGGTACTTCTGTCGTTCATCATGTGTGAACATGTAGACGTAGATGTGGGTGATTGTGTATGTGTATATGTGTACTCGACTTCACACGATTGCATGAATTTTACACTGGACGACAAAAGAAATGAATAAAATATGTTTGGAAACAGCAGCAGTTATTGCAATTGAAAATTTCCTCTGCCCTAATCCAATTGGACCAGTTGATTTTGGCGTCTCCCGCTCTCTCTCTCTCTCTCTCTCGGCGCAATGCCATTTTTATTGATAAATGAATTTAAATTGGAAAAGTCCATTTATTTGTGTCTATTCCTGAAAGCAGAACAAAATGGATGTAATTTAATATTGATTACGATTGGCGTGCTTTAGCTCTTCTACGTCGAAATTGACTTCCGCTCCAAGTACACTAATGGCTTTATTTGATTTAGTTTCTCTCTCTCTCTCTCTCTCTCTCTCTCTCTCTCTCTCTATCACTTTACCCGCTCTTGCGTTCTCCTTTTCCCGCTTTTTTTTCTATTTTGCTATCTTGGTTGATTTTTTTTTCTAAATGGAGCAGAAAATAACCGAACAACCTTCTTCTGCTGTCTTCGAGTTATCACAAAACATGAAACAAGCGAGACATTTTTCAAGCACATAAATCACCATTGATCCGATTTTAAGCTTGTGTCTCTCTCTCTCCTCTTGCATTGTGCGAATAATGCGTTTTATTTGTCATTTGATTTCACAATGTTCTTTATTTTCTTCGCTTTTTTGTTGTTGTTATTGCCATAAATCTCATGTTATTCTCTCATTGTTGTTTCATCGCCGGAATCGATACAAAGCATCCATTTCCAGCTGCACTGCACATTCGGAACAGGATTCGTATAGAGTAGCAAGTCGTCCAATGTTGACATAAATACTTTGCTCTGTTAAAAACTTTTCCCGAATGGTTGATACTGCTGCTGCTGCTGGTGGTGTAGCATGTTTTACATTTTCAACAAGATCGTATTTACTACATTCTGCTGGTGCAATCTTTTACTTCGTTTTGTGTTGATCGTTGTTATCGCCGTCGCTGTCGCCGTCGTTTTTTCTCATTTGTGTTTACTGGAGGAAAAGATAATTTCCAATCTTATTGCATTCACTTGCATTTATTTCACCTCATTTTCGTTTGTCGATGTCTTGAGCCATTGAACGATTGCCAACGACAACGTCAACAACAATCACAACGACGACGACGACGACAGCGCAACAAAATCCACGAACTAAAATGGCAATGGTTTTTGTTCCACATCGTTTTCGATGCATTCATCGCAAATTGTTCTGCATGGAAACAAACTACATTATTACAGTATCCATTGTGCAGTCGTTTGGCTCCTTATTGCTGTTATCATTTGAATTTGTATGTTTTTGTGTGTGTATGCTTTAGCATTTTGTTTGTGATAGTTGTTCCCACTTCATAAACAATACAAATTTAAAAAGCAAACAAACGAATTCCACCAAATTTTGCTGCCTTCGTACAATGTAATATGATGATAATTGGTATCATTGTGGACTAGATGCAGTGCACACGACAACACGGATGGCAACTACCATTGCTGAATTGCGACTTTTTTTTCCCTCACTCTTTCAATTCCTGTTCGACAAAAGTTTTGAAGATTTTTTTTCCTCGTTTGTTTGCTGTTATTTTCTTCTTTTTTTTCTCGCTTGTACCGATTTCGATGCACGAAGTAATCCAGTGTAAATGAAAAAAAAGTAGAGAAATAGACGAAGGAAAATGTGTTTGTAAACCATGGATGCGATTAGCGTACTTTTCTCATTTACTGTTTTATTTTCCATCATTATGGTGTGTTTGTTGTTGTGTGAATGTCTTTTTTCTTCCATGATTACGCTTCGTTTCTAGTAAAGTGTTTGCGCGCAAGCGAAAGCTTTCTTTACTGTATTGTACATTACAGTGCTTCAAATTTATCTATCCTTATACATATATATATATATGTGTGTTTGTGTGTGTGTATTTCATTTATTTTGTTTTGTTTTCATGAGTTCCATCAATATACTCGTACGTGTTGTTTTAAGTTTTTCCTTTCAGCTCGGTATTTATTTCCATTTTGGCGCACTCGTCGTTCTTGCTTCCTCTTTTTCTTCTTCTTATTATTATTCCCTTTTTGTTGCGCTCAACCATTGTGAGCGCGCCCAAATCATGGTCATTACCATTGCAGTAATGCGTCAACAATACATGCCGCACAACAAATAAAACCAAAAGTGTATAAATTACAATTTGTTAAATTTAAAGTTGGATTACTTTTCTTTGCATTACACTTTTTACACTCGCTCTTTCTCTTTCTTTCGTTTTCTTTTTCTGTTTGTGGCCACCCAGCCCTTTCTTCTTGCTTAAGTGAATTTACATAGTATATTTTTCCTGCAGACATTTTGTGAGTGAGATCGCGTTTTCATTTTGTTCCGGCTTTCTTATGCAAGCGAGAGAGAGAGAGAGAGAGAGAGAGAGAGAGAGAGAGAGAGAGAGAGAGAAAGAGAGAGAGAAAGAGAGAGAGAGTAAAATAGATGGGCTGTGACAGAGTTTGCGGTGAACAACAAAGTTCAGATTGAATGAAAAAGGAATGCCTGTTGGTATTATGGAATCCAATGAAGTAACTTTTGATAAATGTATCAAAAGATGCAAGTTCTTAACATCAATCCCGTGTGCCGTTCGTTATCTCCATCTGTGGTGTGACGTGACGTGACGTGGTGTGTGTATAAAGAGTATGTCATTAATGGTCGACAAAAAAGGCCAT